AAGAGTGCAGCTAAGAAGCTGCTAGAGAAAACTTTCTCTTGCAGGCAAACCACCTTCCTCCATCCTTTAGAAAATGTAAGCAAGTATGGCAACTGAGACAAAATGTACACAAAAAGAACAATGAGAAAATCTGTCTACAAGACACAAAGTCAAAACGTAGATCTGCAGCCAATGTGAATGACATCACAAGCTTTATAGGAGACACATGTGAACATCACAGATGCTTAAGCTCTCCTAGAAACTCTTCCTGCCTTTTTCCATGGCACAACCCACACCTGAGAAATAACCAGAAAGCAAAAAAAAAAAAAGGTTGCCTTCTCATTGCAGGTATTTTCTTTGTGTTTGAGAAACAGAATCTGTCTAGTATAAAGTTCTGGCTACAAGACCTACAAATTGCTAGTTTGTATCTAGCAAATGTATTGAATAAATAGGCTTTAGGCTGATGTTTTATTAAAATATAATGGTGAAAATGTAATAAAATTTAAATTTTAAAAACTTAAGTATCAAAAATACAAAGGCAAAAAAAAGAAGCTAGATAACCCTTTTTTAAGAAATTTTCAGACCAGACTTAGTTTGCTGTTTTAAAGTTCTGGATGATCTATTAATGTCTAAAAAAATTAAGCAGGATGTGAAATAGATTTCTGTTTCTAACAGACAGGCAAACATTTTCACTTTGCTGTATCTAAACTGATGCAAAGACCAACAGTCATGATTCAATGATTCCTGATCTCTGTACAACAAAAGACAAAGGCAAAAACATTTTTGTACTTTATAAAGACTACAATCGAGATAACCTACAAGTCTGGGTATAAGTGCTATAGCATCAAAAAAACTCCAAGTTTATCCTCTGATCTTGACCTTCCCACTATCTCACATATTTCATATGTGTAATTTGCCTGTCACCACTTATTCAACATTGCCCAATATGATTGTGCTGCACCTCCTTTCCTGAAATCCTAGTTCCTTTTTCTTCCTTCTCGATTTACAATTCTGTCACCTCTCATAATTTCAGTTTCTTACATAGCAGCTTATATGACATTACACAGAGTAACCAGGAAACATAAAGGAAAAAAAAACCCCAGCAATCAGAGCTTTCCCCCTGAATATTGCATATTAAAATTAATGGGCTATTATTACAGTAAATAATTCTATTAAATGAAGCTATGTGATTTCTGAATCATCAGATCTGGTCTTATGCAACAAGTGACAACTGCTTTTTAAAGAGAATGATTTAAGTCAAGGAAAAACAGTAGCAATGCAAATGTTGTGGTTTCACACAGTAGACTACAAGCCTATCAGTAGATTCTATATGCTATATTGGACAAGGTCTATTTTTAAACTGGCTATCATATTTCCAGGCTTATCCACACACAAAAAGTGCTGTAGCTCTTTTCCTGTATATTTTTCCTACAGGATGACCTAGAACTTGCATGCTTCCTTCATACAGTTATGGGAAGTTCTTACACACATACATTAATTACAGAGCCCCTTGTTACTTCATAGTCAATTCTTAAAACTCATCTTAATGATGACTTGCTGAAATTGTACTAAACTACAACTAGATCTCCATACTCATTCCAGTGTTCTAATACTCACAGAACTATTTAAATTCAGAGTGCAAACTCACACCTGAAAAACCTGCATCAGTGTTCCTTTTAATACCTGGCTGACAGCCAAAGGATGAACTCTAGGAAAAGAAGGAAGTCTTGCAAAGTAAAAATTATTTTTTAAAGTGCATACAACCCTATATGTTTTCATATTCTCAATGGATATATTTGAACATGCAGATCCCTTAGTCATTTAAACTTTCAGACTTGCTTTGACAATTTCTGTATCATGAGAGATGGCAAGTTTTCTCCCTCCAAAGACTGAGCAAGGAGATTCTTCATCAAGTGAGCAAGAAAAAAAATCTAAGAAAGCATTTTTTCTCATTTTTACAACTTCTATTTAACTGCAAGTCAGAATTAAAACCTATATATTTGGAAGGAGTGAATATAACTAAGAATTAGTTAAGGAAAGAAACACTTCCCAACATTCTCTGCCACTCATGTATAATAAATAATATTCAGTATTGGCCTCCATTTAACTTCTTCCCATTTATTTAAATCAAGAACAGATTAAAAACAAGTTATATTTCAAGAATAAATGAAAAGTACTAAGAGCTTCATAGCACCTAAGAGTGTTAACCGTGAGAAGAGTTTTGTTCTGCTCTTTGCCATCAATCCAGACTTCTGTTTATCAGAATTTATCAACAATCTCAGGTTCAACAGATCAGGTATAATAAGATCTGTTTGCTGACAGCTACATAAATACTTTTCCACCTTGAAAGGTTCTCAGATGAATGATAAAAAATATCTTCTGCTACAAATCTCAATTTTAAGTGGAAGAAAAGGACTGGTGAAAGAAAACAGACAATGTTTCATCAGAATGTGACATTTATCAAAGATCAGAAGACTGTGACAAAAAAAGGCATGTTTAATACTCTTCTCGTTCATCCACTTTCTGTGCCACAGAAAGATACTGAAGCTTTTCCTTCCCAAAATATCAGGAGATTGTTAACAAAGTACCAAGATTTGTACATGATTTTTATATCAACAGCTTTGCTGAGATGCATTAGGAGTTTGGCTGTAAATTACTAAAACAGAATTGCTTTGAAATGAACTATATTTAAATAGGCAGAATAATTTTCCTGATGATAATGCTACTTAGGAACTTTAGCCACTTTTCAGCAGCTTAAGTGTTACTTTTTTCCTTACAGAATACATATATTCTTTGGTTATTATTTTAATTTTTAAAATAAATCTGGATTAATTCCACATGGGCACTGGCATTTTCATTTCTTCTGATACAAATCCCCAAATAATGAACAAGCAATACTATTTTGTGAGCTTGATATCAGGCAATCTGTTACAACACTACATGTTTACTAGCTACCTGTGGTCAACTCATAATAATCTACCTACAATAATTTGAAATGAAAGGTAGTCTGCAGGAACAAAGTCATTAAATTGCTAGTCTTTAAAATATGAGAAGAGCACAATTTGGCACCCACTATCAAACAGGAGCTCCTATTGCAAAACTACAGTCAAAACCAGAAAAAAAATGCACAATTAAAGTTGCAACAAAATGGTGCAAAACCAAATTATAAAGTAATTCAAAAGGCAACATCAAAACACTATACACAAGAAAGGGAAAGCGAACATGGTATAGACTCAGGATTATAGTAGCCACTGTAGAAGTGGTGAAATAGCCTCTTCCTTACCTCTTCTTAAGTCAAAACATGAACACATTTTTATTAATCAAAAATGCTTTGCCCCTTCATAGCTACTGATTATTTCATTGTAGGGATTTACCAAAAGAAGATATGCAGAGAGCTGCTTGTCTTGGAAATGGTCAAGTTATAACTTTTCATTATTTAAACAGTCTTAAGCTCTTTTATGAATAGATCTTACCTTATTTTTCATGAACTTTGAGTGACTCTTGTAAACTTCTATTTGCTTGATTTCTTCTTCTCGATCCTCTGTATTCAGAACTCCATTTGTCTTTAACATCTGTATTTCATCTTCAAGATCTCTTATATTGCGCTCAAGTGAAGCTATTTTTGTATCCTAAAAAAAAAGGTATTGAAAATTACATCAAACATATATTAAAGAATAACAGAAGTATATCTACTTGCATAAATATCACACATTAAAACAGCAAAAATAGATGGTGCAAAGAGAGAATGCACATATTGTCATAGTCCAAGGGTAATGATACAGATTTTGGTTTCAAGAAATGCAGAATTCAGACTTTTTTCACCGCCAGAAAATGTGCAGTGCTAGGTTCTGTTACACAGTCTGTAGAGAATACATTCTGGTCAAAATTCTGTCCTCATCCCACACAGGGATGAAGGGAAAATGGCAGACACCCTGTTTTTCCACGTATATATGATAACATACCTTGCTAGCATTGCTAACCATCTGGGCCTGACTATGCTTCCAAGCTCTTAAACAAAGTTCAGCCTAGAGAGGCCAGTACATCATCACTGCAGGACAGCAAGTCACTTCATTTTGTGACTCAGCCTGAGGCTCAGTTTCCCTATTTCTCTAGAGTTCTGCCTGTTGTCAAGAAGAGGAAAGGTTGTCTCCTCACACACTTTTCCTTAACTAATCTAGCCACACAAGTTAAGAGTGGATTTAGCACTTTTTATTATGAGTCCCAAAATAAACACAACTACAACCACCAAAAATTTCTACATCCCAGCCAACAGCTGCCATGAGTGCACTGCAAAACAGCAATTTTTTTTGTCATCTCCAGTCATTTGGAAATTGACTAAATCTTCTTGGTGAGAGTCAGAAAGATTAGAAAACTGATTACACAAACTTGTCACATAATTTATTTAGAGATCAGGATGAAGTTCTTGTTCCATTGACATCAGTGAAAACAAACAAACAAACCTGATTCACTATGACCAGGATATTAAGTTAGAAAGCTAATTTGGGAAAAAAAATAAATATAATTGATCCTTTAACCTGGATAAGCTAAGCTTGATTCACTCTGTTAATTACAACTTTGTTTCTGTTTCTTTTTTTCAAAATTAGTTTTATTTCCCTGAGTTCTAAGAGTACATCAGTACATTCTCTAGGCTGCCTAAAAGCAAGCAAAAAAACCCAGAATTCCTGTAATAATCTCTTTCATTACAAATCCAGGCAAATTTACCAATTTAAGACACAGGAGATTTTGTACAAAGTTCCAAAAAGCATCTGAACTTTTGGTACTGAAGCAAAGAAGAATATCAAATTCTTTTTGAAATTGAACAACCACTATTAAAAAACATACAGAATGAAAGGTAAGGACTAAACAATGTCATTTAGACAGCCCGCTATCATTCCTCTAACATTTTAACTTTTATCTTTATAGTCAATAATAAATCTCAGACTGAGAGAAATTTTCTTTTATTATTTTCTTATTTCTTACATGAGTTAAATTAACAGATGTTTTTGAATGGAAAAGATTTTAATGATTTAATTTGCAGTACAAAAACCTGTTCATAAACAAGTGAAAATATTCATAGTCTGAAATTCTGAACGTTTTCAAAGATCTGACAGGATGAGTAATCGTAACATGAAATTAAACTTTGTGTTTTCATTACAATATTCATTCCCAGAGAAATTCTACTTAAAAAATAAAATTAAGACATGATTTAATTTATAATAACTGTGGTCCTTCAAGAGTTTTCTCTTAAAAACTGATACTCTTCCACCAAACATGGAGGAGTGCATATGGATACTTTTGACTAGAGCACCTGAGCAGAATATCCTGAATATTCTTTATGCCTTCAACTAAGGAAATCAAGAGCACATATTATCAGCCATTCCTAGTGCTGTGTGGAACAGCACCAGTAAAAGAATGGTATTTTGTGCAGTTAACACTGTTCTTCAGTAAAATAATAAAAAATACTTATTTGCCCACATATTTTCCATTTTTAATGAGTCAATTCAAATTAAAGGAGCTGTGTGAGGGGATTCTACCTGCACAGTGTGAAACAGTCCCAGCAAAATTAGCTTTAGAACTTGACAGTTTCTCTGCAAAATAATATCACATGAACACACTCAATGAACCCCTAAGAGCTTTCCCATATGTCTCCATTAATGAAATCTTTTAGGAAACTGAGACAGTTTGTCTAGGAAAGAAAGTTGTCACATAATAATTCATAGCACAGATTGACCCAATAGAAGATCTGCATGTAAATAATCTATCCACAATGTCCTCAGAAAGTCAGAGCAATCAAGTTTAAATTCAAATCTGAACTACATAAGAAACAAGTACTCGCCCCAGTGTCCAATGACAAGGTGTCTCTAGCCTCTGTGCTTTATGAAATGTTTCCAGCAAGAAGACTATCAACACTGAGGACTCAGTCATGGCTTCCTTGTGAGAATTCAACCCATACAAATCCATGGGTCTCAACAAGTTGCATTCAAGGGTGTTGAAACCACCGGGTGATATCCTGGGAACCCAAATCTCTAGAATCTTTGGAAAGTCATGAAAATTCATGGAGATTCCTGACAACTACAGGGAGGCAAATGTTGCAGCCACTGTCAAAAAGAGACCAAAAGAACAAACCAGCTTCACTTTGTTCCTCAGAAAAATGATGGTAAAATCAGCCTGGACAGGAGTTTTGATCATGTGAAGGAGAAAGTAGCTGGGAACAGCCAGCAGAAATTTACCAACAGTAAATCACATCTGACCAAGCAACTTGATTTCTGTGATAAAATCATTAGCTTTGTGGATGAAGAAAGAACACTGGGTGTCATTACCTCTGTTTTAGCAAAGCTTTGCACACTGTCTTCCATATTTTTATATCCATGCTAAGTCATTACAGTCTGGATGGGTAGACAACTAGGAAAATTCTAGTTCTATGGTAAAATACTAATTCTATGATCAGGCTTAGAGTACCACAGGGTCTATACCAGGACCTGTCCCGTTTAATACCTGTATCAGTGACCTGAAAGAGGTGACTAACTCTCTGGAGAGATGGGGAAAAAAAACTGCCGAGAAAGACTTGAGGGTCTTGGTGGACAGCAAGTTTGACAGGAGCCAGCACAATGGCCTGGCACTGAGAGGCAAAGAGCAGCTGCTGCTGAATGCAGATTCATTCATTTGCACCACACTGATAGAGCAGTTTTCACAGGCAGATATGTTTATGGGTTGTACAACTATGTAATTCCTGTCTGAAGAGTGTGCTTTAATTCAGATAAGAGCTCAGTGATGTGAAAAAATGACAAACATTTCAAAAAGAGATCTTGAGACAAAGGAATTTAAGCAGAAGTTGAGGAGAGCTATCTCTCATGACAGCAAACATACTTTCATGCCATACAGGCAAAGTAATGGGAACCAAACCCTTTCATATATCTTACAAGTTTCCACATTAATTGCATCCCCATGCAGAAAGGAAGCTCCAGACAAAAGTGAAAAACGAGCCAGAATGCAAAGGAAACAAACAAAAATATTCTTGGAATGTGAAACTTGTTGGGTTTTATCTTTTACCTCACTAGTTGCCTTTTTTTTCTGGGAAATATCTGATACTGAAATGCTGATGATAACGTTAATCACCAGTCCATATTTTTCTTTCTTGAAGGCTATGTTCAAAGATAAACAGTATTCCACCAAAAATCATTGAAAAACCACAAACTCCAACTAGGGATGCACCTTTTAAAAAACCAAAATGCAAAACAAACCAAAAAAAGCAACAAACCAAACAACAACAACAACAAAAAATCACACGCACACACCACCATTCCAGTACATCCCTGACCCACCACCTGGAGGGCATCACCAGCTTTTAGGTTATATGTTTATATCTAATATAATTATAGAGTTGTTTTTTTAAGTAACAACTTTTCAAGTTGCAGGTAAAATATGACTGAAATTAATTAGCCTCTTAGCCTAACATTAACAATTAAACAGATTTCTAATAGCAGAATCCTAAAAATTTTATCAATATTTGCCCATAGAATCAGCATTACTCATATCAGAGCAAAGGCTGTACATGAATGATCAAAAAAAATCCTAAGTAATCTATGAAGTGATCAGCCCTTCATGTGAAAATAAACATTTTTATGTTAATTGTTCTGTTCAAAAATCAATTTTCTATAAACTTTTAATTTAATTTGAAAACTAATTTTATAATAAGAAAGTAATATACTGAAAGAAAAGATAAAAAATAATTTTAAAAACCATAACACAAAATAATTGCAGCTCTCACAGATACTACAATAAATTCAGACTGCTCCATCAGGCTTCATTTTAGAAATATTTTATTCCTATTATTGAAGGTGAAAGCAAAATCTAAGCTTCACTGCACTTAAGAATGATTTTGTAATGAAATATATTAATACATACATGACCTGGTATCTGGCAGTAGTCTTCATCAAATCTCTCCAGCTAAGTCTTTAAGAAGCTGCTTTTTTGTACTGCATTTCTATTTTATGTGTTTGCAAATATAATAAGGCAAAACTAATTTCTAGCACAGCCTGTTACACTTTTTAGAAGGTTTATACATCAGACAATAACTTTTAACCTTTTAACCTTTTACCTGAGAAATATCTAACAACTTGTGAAAGCATTTTCTCTTGTTCTACTTTACCACAAGTTTGAAATCTCAAAGAAAAGCTTCTTTTTAACAATCTCTGCCTATTGTGATTACAGATGTGTAAAAACTAGTTTTCCTGACTTTTGAAAAATTGTCACTGTCAGTTTTATATAAACTTTTTATTGAAACAGAAGCCAGAAATTTCACACATTTTGAAGACTATAAAATCTGTTTCAGAAAAATTTATCCAAACCAGTAGTGTTGACAAGACAGAAGAGAAGACAGACATCACCTTCATTCACAGACTGTTCAAGGAGTCAAAAGTGCTGTTTCCTTATGCATGTTGGCTTGCCAGAAAACCTGACAGTTCTCCTGTCTGGACAACTGCTAGCAAGTGAGGAATCTTGTGGGCCAAAGATGCTACAGGGAGCCTATAGCTCCCAATGGATACTGCCACAAGGGAGCTGGGCTGACTCACAGGATGGATAGAAAATTAAGTAGCTTTGCCTTCACTAAAAGTTTTGACAGAATAGGCACATTCCCATAAAATCTTCTGATTCAGCTGAATCAGTGTTTTCTCACAGAAAACTTCAACTGGAAAACTTTCAACCAGCTCTTGTTGTGGCACAGGGTCTGGCAAGCTTTCAGAAACTGAAACAGGAACAGATGCACTATTTCCTTCAGACCTCTAAGATTTATCCACATTAGCAACATTCTACAAAACTACGTGGGTCTGTGTTGAATCACAAAGAAGATTCCTTTGCAATAATATTAAGGAAGCAGCTTAGTATTAAATGGCATCAATAAACAACCTCTGAGTTCTGCAACAATGCAACATCTGTACAGATTTTTCCAGTCAGGGCCTCTAAATCTGTTAAAAGACATAAGATTATATAGCAGGATTTGTGATAGAGATCAGGGTACTCACCCTAATCTATCCCCTCCTTCCAGCAGTAACCAATACTTCTTCATTTCCTTTATTAGAACAGATACTCTGTGAGAGAGGTTAGGGCTATCTCTATGCTGGACCTAGCAGAAATTCAACTCTTTAGGAATGTGAAACAATTAGTATGTGTCCTGATGCTAAAGAAAATAGTATTTCACAATGGAAAAGAGCCCAACTCTACAAATGAGTTTCCACAATGATCTTTCATGCATCATATCAGTCCTTACAAGAGTCCTATAGTACATTTCTGAAACACTGAGGGGCTGGAAAAAGGCAAAACATTTGTAAATAATACAGCAATCCAGGTTGTCTTACTCTGAAAAGTAACAAAATGCTACTGTTCATCATTTGAGACGCCTGATAAATTTAAACTATGCCTGTGAAAAACTTTGCTTGTAGGGCATTCAACAAGCAATCAGAAGCAAATAGTTGAAGCTTCACATTTAATAAAACTTGCATTTTAACACACTTCTGTACACATGCTGTCAACAAACCATATACGGCTACTTTTACTATATATGGGTTTTAACCTTGTCAGTTTAATGCAGGAAATATTCAGGTTTATCTTTGAAGACAAGGAAAGTGAAAGTTCATGCAATCTTAGCAAAAAGAGTATGTTGCACTGCAAACACACATACACACTTTTTCTGAACCAAACCCATACCTGAAATATCAAAGCTGGATCAATATATAAGGATGGCTCTTTCTGCAAGTAAGGTAAACCACAAATATTTTCATTTACTTTACAGCTTACCATTTTTATAGACTATCATTCTAGTTGCTAGACTCCATATATATTTCAGGATGGTCAATGTCTTATACTTAAGATGAGCTTTATGCCATATCAGTAGGCAACTCATTTCTGATTTTTCTCTCTCAAGTAGTATCACTGTTTTAAGCCTGAAACTCTCTGAATGAGATCATAGAAACATATAAGGCCTTAGACTGGGAGCAACTTTTAAAGATCATCTGGCCTAACCCTCCTGCCACGGGCAGGGACACCTTTCACTAGACCAGGTTGCTCAAAGCCCCAGCCAACCTGGCCTTAAACATTTCCATGGATAAGGAATCCACAGCTACTCTGAGCACCCTGTTCCCATGCCTCACCACACTCATCATAATTTTTTCCCCTTATATCCAATCTAAATCTAACCTATTTCAGTTTAAAACTGTTGTTCCTCATCCTATCACAACAGGTCCTACTGAAAAGTCTGTCCCCATCTTTTTTATAAGCCCTTTTTAAGTACTAAAAGACTGCAAGAATGTCTCCAAGAAGCCTTCTCTTCTCCAGGCTGAACATCCCGAACTCTGTCAGCCTCCATCCATAGAAGAGCTGCTCCAGCCCTCTGATCATTTTTGTGGCCCTCCCCTGGACTTCCTCCAACAGGTCCATGTCTTGTTCTACTTGGAACAAAACTAGACTAACTTGAGGGAATAACAGGGGAATGTGGGAAAGCATCCTGTACTCATATGGATTTGTGACTGTTTTCCAGAAGAAAGAATAGCTTCTGGAGAAGATCTGGTGCAGACGAGAACAGAGCAAAGAATGTACAGGGAAAAAACTGAGCAGAAGACATGGAACATCTGGAAGCAAACATGTCTAAGAAGCAAACCCAGAAAGTCGGGAAAGAAAGGTCACTGCAGTGCATCTGGAAAAACAACAGATATCTGGAAAGGAATAAATAAGGCAAGAAAAATAGGAATCAAGATATAGGATGCAAATATTCTACTTTTGTCATTTAGCCTTTGTGGGCTTTTTTACTTAAGTATACAGAAGATAGACACTGGTCAAGTGTCAAGGAGAAAACAGCTATGCAAAAAATACAACTTCTATAAGAAAAGGCAACTACTTGTAAAGTTTCAGAGTTAAATGAAGAGCACGACAGGACAGGAAAGGTAGTGCAGGAAGAAAAGATGTTTAAGACAAATAAAAAAAAACCATATAAGATAATAGGTAGGAGAAATGGGTATACTTCATTGGATGAAAGGGGATACAGACTGGGAAAAGGGACAGAAATGATTCAGCAATGCAAGGGACAGAAGAAAATCACAGGAAAGAGTAGAAGGAGTCACAAAGGAGGGAAGGCTGTGTCCTGGCAGAGCCTGAGGGAGCATAGAGGGAACTCAGACGAAAGCTAACATGGCAAGGGGGTGGAAGGGGCTCAGTGTGGTGCAGAGAAATGTATACTGCTTGGAGCCTCTGCATGGGGGAGTGTACAGCCTCAGATTGCCATATTACAGGCTAATCCTCTCCCTCCTTCTACCCTCAGGAAATGATTGCTTCAATGCCTGAACATTCAAAACAAATGTTCCACATTTTTTTCAAAACAAATGCTGTCTGGATTAAGACAATTTAAATTTACTTGAAAACATTCCAAAGCTGGAACTTGTAATGAAAACTGCTGTTTAATCATGTGGATTTCAACATCTTACATTTGCCCTCCCCCTTTTTTTTTTCAATATTAGGCCTATTTTAGACAGGGCAACCCCAAAGGAAAGGGTGTTCATAGGAAAAGAAAGAACTGTGTGCCTCAAAGCCAAAAAGCAGCTCTGCATCAGTGCTCCAGCAACATGATTGCAGCCTCACTAGTGAGAAACGAAAGCCATTGCAGCAATGACCAGATCTTTTAAAAGTGCAACGTTGCACCACACCCAGCTCTACTGGGACACAACTGAAAACACTTCACCATCTGCAGGGACAGACACTGTCAAAGTGGCTGCAGTCACAGTCATCAGATGTCTTGTTTGTGTGCTTTGCACCCTCCATCCCTGTTCTTTTCAAAGATTTTTGGTACAGGAAGAGGAATTGAAAATTAATTTCAACATAACCTTTACTTTGTTCATTACCCACATGAAAATTATAAATTATTCTAACACGCTATTTCTGTAGCCCAAAACTTTTACATTTATAATTCTGAATATAATAGCACAAAGCAAGTTTCCCAGCCAGTATTCTACTTTCCCATACTTAGGGTAATGAGTTACTGCAAAAGCACACATTTTAGATTTCATACAAAGACTTCTGAAATAGAAGGTCCAAGGCAAATACACATCAGGAGATGGAATACTGAAATCAATGTACCTTCTCTGTTACACATATAATCCAAACTAATTATTATCTATTAAAAGACAGATACTGTATTTATAAAGTCCTGCTGTTGTTTTAACTGTGTATTTACCACAATGTTCAGACATGTTGAACTCATTTGCTCATAACAGAAGTCACTGGCAAAAATGAGGCCTTTAATTTGCACTTCCTTTTAAGACTGAAATGAAAGACCATCATTAATGTATTTCAGGCAGCATTGCCAACTCACAAATTATCTCAAGTCTCATGGTACTTTTCTTAAAGATGTACATTCCAGACTCATAGAATTATGCAAAAAAAATCAGGTTTCACATTTTAAATTATTATTTCTATCTTTTGTTATTGTGGGGAAAAAAAGCCACAACACTTCAATAATATTATATATCAAAAAGAGGAAACTATATTCAGGACTAAGATAGCTGGTTGATCACGTTTTGTCATATCTGCTGATGCAATGACTACTTTCCTTAGGTTAGCTGTAAAATGATGGTCTAATAATCAGCAATACAAGAATTGTTTTTAAAGATCAAAAACATTTTACATTAACCTTGGACAATTTGCCTCGGACTTCTGTTTGTCAATTTATGCCAATTACTTTGGATCTCCCAAAACACACATCCACCCCCAAGTTTTTTTAAAAAGCAATATTCAGTTTTAACTATTGAGCAATGCTACATGAGTTTTTAATCAATTTTCTTAAGAAAACATACTGGGAGAAATAAATACTAATTATTCCTAGCTTCACAACAAAATAAATTGACAAGGCAAAGGAAGCATTTAATGATTTAATAGTGAAAGTCGTAAACCAACCCTGGTAGGCAGCTAAGTGTCACACAGCTGCTCATTTGCTCCCCCTCAGTGGGATGGGGGAGAGAATTGAAAGGGCAAAAGTGAGAAAACTCATTGGTTGAGATAAAGCCAGTTTAATACATAAAGCAAAGCTGTGCATGCAAGCAAAACAAAATATGGAATTCATTCTCTACTTCCCATCGGCAGGCAGCTGCCTGGCTCTTTCCAGGAAAGCAGGGCTTTGTCATGCACAACAGTTATTTGGGAAGACAAATGCCATAACTCTGAATGTCCTCCCCTCAGTTTCAAGGCTGAGCATGACATTTGATGGTATGGAATATCCCCTTGGTCAATTAAGGTCAGCTGTCCCCGCTGCGCTCCCTCCCAGCCTCTTGGCCACCCCCAACCTACATGCTGGGGTGAGATCAGAGTGAGAACCTGAGAAAGCTTTGACTGTGTAAGCACTATTCAGCAGCAGCTAAAACATCAGCGTGTTATCAACACTGTTTCAGTCTGAAATTCAAAACACAGCACTATACTGTGCTATGAGGAAAATTAACTCCATCCCAGCCATACCCAGTATATGGCTTCATGCTACAAAAATAACATATGAGAAAACATGCAAAGACCATACCTTCATTTCAATAACTGTTTGAAGAGCCTTCGTCTTTGCTGGCTCAGGCTGAAGTTGGGTTCTTCTATGCAATTCCTGTGGAGGGACACGATAGAAATAAGCTTGACGACTCATCTTTCCATTATTTTAATCACTCACATGAATTCAGTTCAGCAAAATAAAAGTCTGATGATTAGAAGCATGAAAACTCCAAATGCTACAGGTGCTTGCTTTGCTATAATCCCTCTGGCATCACTGCAGTCCCTATCTTATATTACAGTCAACTCTGACGGCACATGCGCTATTTCTGACACCTCTATCAATAATTAATGTCAACCGTGACAAGCCAGCAAGTAATTTCTTAGTCCAAGTGCAATGTTCCTGTTGCTGCTTAAACATCAAAACTTCATTCGGTTATGTTACTAATTCAAACACTGTTAGGTGTTAAATCTTTTGCTGTAGTTTCTTCTCAGTTTTCCCTCTAATATCTGAAATAAGCAATTTAAAGACATTATATTCAAATTTGACATTTTAAGGATAATAATTATATAGTGGGTTGATGCAGCAATCTCTACAGTAGCAATTACATTTCAGTTTCCACATGTTCTGTTTTTTATGCATCTTAATCCACAGGCAAAGGAAAAATGGACTGCATTTGTTAAGATATGACATTAACAGAACTGATATGCACTGGTCTTTATAAAAATAAGAAGAAAGGAGAAAAAACCAAGAAAACAAGAAGCCAAGAGTATGAAGGCAGCAGTGCACAGTCTCAAACACCAGAGTGATATTTTGGTATAATATATACCTCAATAAAAACACACATAACTGCATAGAAAAATATAAAGGTGTAACAAAACATTCTCATTTGAGAATTTGGTAATGTTTATACCCCTCCCATAAACCATCTGAGCAGTTTATTATTAAAACACTGAGACAGGACAGATATAGTCCCATTTCTACTCCTCCAGAGTCCATCTCCTCTAAAGAACTGGACTGTCATTCTCAATGTCTTTTCCCAGTTCTTTCTACCACAATGCAATATACGCACTTGAGGTCACATATATATATATATGTATGTATATACATACACACACACACACACACACACATGAATATACTATAAGGTTAGTACCTTATAACCATGAAAAATACATTTATATCCAAGGCCAAGAAGTCAAGGTCATTCACCACAAAGACTAGCTGGGTTCAGAACCTGAGCTATTGTGTTTCAAATTATACCTCTCCCAGCTCACTCTCATAAATTCAGGGAGGTTTCATCAGAAAACATAGCACTGTGGCTCCTAATTTTCTTTATTGCCATCTCACGTCCCCTTTTGCTGAGTGAAGCAAACCATGTGCAACTTGACAATTAATGAATTGATAGACTATCAACTATGGATTGTGCACATACTATCCTGTTCCACTCTCCCACACTCCAGCCTTAGCACATTTCCAAGTCTTGCCTACCCTATAACCCACAAGTTTAAAATTCATCATGGTTTGTATTGCAAACTATTAGTCAGTTTCTTGATCTGTTTAGCAACAAACATATTGCTTACCCATGACTTTGAGAAACAACTGCTCTTAAAGGCTAAGCTGTAGGAGTGATTTACTGTATATTATTAAACTAAATTCTACTGATAATAATCATCTTTTTAGAAAAAAAGATTCAAAAAATTGTGTGGCCTAATATATTTAAATAATGGAAAGAGACAGTATACCTAGAGTTAAGTAGGTCTGCATGGTTTTTTACTAGATTAAATATATTGCAGCTATACTTACATATGTTTAAACTACCTCTAACAGATAATAACAGTGAGCTTTTAATTTTGCTCCAGGCATTTATGAAAAAGTATCTCTGATTGGTCCTTTCTCCTTGCTTTTTTTTTTCTTTACATACAACTAACTCTCCACATTATAAAAATAAAGAAATCTTTGCAAATCACCTATGCAAGGAATCTCTCAATCACCACCAGCTGTTTGTTTCAGATGAAACAAGTACCTTCACTATATAAATGCTTTAAAAAATAAGAGTATGTCATGGATTTGTCATATAGTCATGGAAAAATAGTTGGCCAGTCATACCACTATCTGATCAGCAAAAATTACAGCTAATTCTAAGACCAGACTTTGCTCCCCAAGGCCACATAAACTGAGCTGGAATATAAACAGGATTCCACACATTACCCAGGGAGACAAACCAGAGTTTCCACCCCCTTAGCCAAAGATGAATAGACTGCCAAAGATGCGTATTCCTAGATGTCTATCATAGCATGAAGCCTTGCCTCATAATACTTTTCCTGTTTGCTTTATGAATCAATCTGATGCTGGCTGACTTAAAAGCTTTTCTTCGCTATCCCTGATGGTAAAATGAAGCAGACTTCAGGATTCTGGAGAAGATCAGAAAATGACTCCCACTTTATTATTTTGTGTGGATTTTCTTCCAATCGGATTCAAATGTTCAGAGACTCCCACAAGACTCAGTTCTTGAATTTATCCTGTTCTATGTATGCATTTTTTCTTTTGGGGTACCTGATTCAGGGGTATACTTTTGGGGTACTGATTTAAGGATACTACCACTTTATGTGCATGATACTTTCCACTGATTGTTTTATTATCTGAGGTCATCTGGAGGGTTTCAAATTTGCCTGAACAGCTAAGCAAGAGAGATTCTGAAGACTTCATGAAGTCCTCAAAGCCTAAGAAACTAGTTTTTTTATCCATTACATCATTTTTGGAATGACACTGTTTTGTCTTTTTTTAAATTTCTTTTAATAAAAAGCTCAGGGAGCCTAATAAAAATATTTTAAAGCAAATAAACAAAAACCCCAAGCAAAAAAAACCAAACAACTATCAGAGAGTTTTCTTTAACCTACACTTTATTGAACAGAACTCTTGATACTTATCTCCATGATAAAGTACTTGTGTCACCATTGCAACCATCAAAGTCTATACTAATAACCTCCCAGAGATGCACTCATTTGTAAAATCATGCTTTCATTATATCCCCATGACATCTGCAATTAGTAGTAATTCTGAGTAACCACCTTGCAGATGCAAATTAATTATAATTCTTCATAACCAAATGCCCACACCTAGTATTTCATGATGATGCTTCATTGTCAAGGTGACTAACACACCCACACAGAATTGACAGGTAATCAGATCTTCCTCATCACACTAAATTTACTTTAATGTTCTTTGCTTTTAGACTGAGTCTCAACCCAAACTTGGCCACTGCTTTCTCCTTCCAAAATATTAGATTAGCATAATGCGTTGACCTCAGAAGTAACTTCAGCACACAATTATACTCCTAATTTAAACACAAAAATAATCCAAAGAGGAGACCGTTTATACTGCATAATCCTAAGATCCTCCTAGAGAAAGATGAGTTCTCTTCTTTTGTTCAGAAATTGATAAAAAGGCATTGCAAGATTTTGTTATTATTGACTGGTATTGAAAATCTGCACTACATAGCATAATCCGAACCTAATACTAATTACCCAAATCAAACTGCATTTTTATCCCAGCTTTATTAAAAGACACTTCATCACTTGGCTGCAGGAAAGTCAGGGTGCTGCACACTGATCTTCCATTCCCTCTCATTCTGATGTATTTTATTAAGGTTCCTAGGACATCAGTGATTGTGTTTTGTTCTGACTAGATAAGGCTGAGCCAAAATTCTTAAACAAAAGGCTGGACAAATGCTGTTAATGTAGCTCAAGGTTTTAGCCTTGTTTACATGAAACTGCCTAAAATATCATGACATAAAATCCTAGAAAGAAAAGGAATTTGTTAGAAAAACAGGCAATTTAGACATGGTATGAAATTGGCAGTGAATGTCTGCATTTCAACTGGTAAACTTCTCCTGATTAAAGAACAGAAGGGAAAGGGAATCAAACTCCAAGATTTTTAAAACTTCACACAAAATTCAAGATTTAAAGGAAAGTCGTAGTAGGAACAAAATCAAATATCCATAGGAAGAAGGAAGACAAATGATTGAAGACAGCAGCAACCAAACCTAAGGCAACTTAAAAACTGGCATGAGAAACCATTGTGTCAGTAAATCTAGCTTTTTGCATTCATAGGCAAAATGTACAAATCTGTAAATCACAGCAGGCAATAGTATAGGAGCTGCTAGTTCTCTCAAACACCTCAAAGCAGACTGGTTCCATTCTCCTGGAAAAGAAAGCCTTGGTACTGCTTCTACATGATCAGCTGTAAAATTTAAATCAGCAGTATATTAATATTTCGATCAATCAGTTAAGTAAAAGTACAGCCACTTACCTAAAGTGTCTAAACAGTAGTGCTTCTTCAGCCAAAAATACCATTAGAAAGACTGCTCAAATTCTATTTAACCAGAATACTAGAAAAATGTAGCATACAGGAATTAATTTACTCTTAACATACAGGCTTATCTGCTCTTTTCTGTTTTCTAACCCTTAACAACCACTCCCAGCCAAAATGGTCTCATAGCAATGTAGACAAAAGTAGATTTAAGAAATCCTGATCAAACTCTTTATCTTTCTAGAAACCATAAACTGGCAATACAAAACTCTGTGTCTGGCTCCAGTGGGTAGGAAAAAGAAGCCCTGTTTCTAGAAAGGATTTCAAAAACCATGTTGCCATTGATGGTCTTTAGAAAGCTCACTACCATAGGTATTTGAACTCTGTGAGAAGCTGCTAAAGAAATTTTGTCAAATCTCAACAAATTTTATAGTTTGAAGAAATGAAAATGTGGATGCAAGGATGTGAAATGAAAAATTATATGAAACTATAAAGAGGTGACAGTTATACAAGTTTTGTACTACCGAGAGTTTCTTTGTAAATTAGGTGCATTTAAATTTATAAAGTTCTCATGGTTAAGCAAAATACTCAGATGCCTAATTCTCTCTTCATTTATCATTTTAAATAAACAGGCAAATATGAGTTTTGATGAGTAAGGAAGATAGGCACCACCACCAAACTATCAACCAAAGATCAATAGACCATCACCAAGGACAAGTCTAACAATAATCTCTTTGGCCTCAGTATTACTCTTGAACAATGATTCCAACACCACTCCTGGCCTGCTTTTAAAAACTTGGGGGTGT